TCCAAAGGTATTCTGAAAGCATTGTTTTCCCCATTTGCTTTTTAATTCGCCTCATGAAACTATGGAGAGACAGTGATTTGGCTTACTCTTATTCAATTAAATAATGAAGAGTTGGCTGGCTTTCAAACTTGTGGCTGTAAGGGGAATTAAATCTTTACTCTGGGTGTAGCTATTGAGTGTGCCCCGTGTGAAGTCAATGGAGCGCAACATTGAGCAGGAGATAAAACAAGTTCCTGGTCTGAACCCGATATATTTCTGCTGAGCACAATGGGTGAGAGAGTAGGAGGATCCAGAGACAATCCCAAGCAGAGAGAGGGTAAGGGAGTGAACGACACAGAGTAGTTGAGACTTGATTGGTTGTCGTGAAACTGCTGTTCAACACTGTTTAAATTTAAACAAGTTTTGTTTTAAAAAGTTTTTGTTTTAAATGACAAAGAGTTTTGTACTTTCTGCTAATTTCTAGTTTTAGTTAATATTATGACAACATGGTAAAATTAATTTATGGTAGGGCAGCTTGACCAAGTGGAATGCCCATGTGCAAGAAGTGTCACCACCTGCACAAGTTTAAGCTCTGGGTTTCAGGCTCGAGCAGTGGCTAGAGTCAATGAAGTGCATCAGTGAGGCAGAGAATTACATAGGTAGCATGCTCAGAGGGCTGGTCACATCAAAACTTCAGAGCAAGCAGGCAGATAGGGCATAAGTGACCACTAGGTAGTCCACAAGAAATAGGCAGGCACTGCAGGAGTCCACAGAGGTCCTGTTTACTATCTGTTTTTCATTTCTGGATATTGGTGAAGGCAACAGCTTCTTGAAGAAGTAAAGCAAGACAAAAGCCTATGGCACCATAAGTGGCCCAGCTACATGAGTGCAAAGCTGGGTTGGGCGGGCAGGGGAGGGGTGGTGGGTGGATAAAGCAGACAGGTACTACAGATACAGGATTTTTAAGCTAGGAGAATAGGCAGCCTTTTCTCTGACCTGACTCCAGTAACAATGTGGATAGAAAAATGGGCTGAGGGGAAGGGAATAGAGAGTAACAGTTAATGGGCATTTTTCAGACTGGAAGAAGGTGTGTAGTGGAGTTTCCTGGGGTCAGTATTGGGGACCCTTGCTTTTCTTGATCGATACAATGATCTCCACCTTGTTGTGCAGGAGACAATTTCAACGTTTACAGATGACACTAAATTTGGGAGAATTTTAATCTGAGTGGAGGTTAGAGCATAACTTCAAAAGGAGATTGACACATTGGTGTAGTGGGCCAATAGGTGGTAGATGATGTCCAATGCGGAGAAGTATGAAGTGATACAATTTGGTAGAAAGTACATGGAGAGAATAAAGATTTACTATTTTAAAGTGTGCGCAAGAGCAGAGACAGCTAAGTGCACGTATACATAAACAATTAAAGGTGGCAGGACAGGTAGAGAGAACAGTTGCTAAAGCATTGAGTACTCTAGGCTTCATAAATAAGGGCATATAGTACATGAACAGGAAGATTCTGATGAGTTTATAGAAAACAATAGTTAGGGGCAGGACTTATACACTGAATTATAAGGTCCTGGGAAGTGTTGTCGAACAAAGAGACCTTGCAGTGCAGATTCATAGTTCCTTGAAAGTAGAGTCACAGGTAGACAGGATAGTGAAGAAGGCATTTGGTACACTTGCCTTTATTGGTCAGTGCATTGAGTATCAGAGTTGGTAGGTCATGTTGCAGCTGTATATAGGACTTTGATTAGGCCACTTTTGGAATACTGCGTTCAGTTCTGGTCTCCCTGCTATAGGAATGAGATCGTTAAAGTTGAAAGGGTGTAGAAAAGATTTACAAGGATGTTGCCAGGGTTGGAGGGTTTGAGCTACAGGGAGAGGCTGAATAGGCTGGGGCTATTTTCCTTGGAGTGTTGGAGGCTGAGGAGTGACCTTATAGAGGTTTATAAAATCATGAGGGACATGGATAGGGTGAATAATCAAGTCTTTTCCCCAGGTTAGGGGAGTCTAAAACTAGAGGTTATAGGTTTAAGGTGATAGGGGAAAGATTTAAGAGACGTAAGGAGCAACATTTTCGCAGGGGGTAGTGCATGTATGGAATGAACTGACAGGAAAAGTGGTGGAGGCTGGTACAGTTACAACATTTAAAAAACATCTGGACGGGCATATGAATAGGAAGGACCAAATGCTGGCAAATGGGACTAGATTAATTTAGAATATCGGGTTAGCATGGACATGTTGAACCAAAGGGTCTGTTTCCATGCTGTACATCTCTATGACTCTATGACCTCCCTTAGAGTATTGTGCATAGTTTTGGGTGCCACGCAATAGGAAGAATGTGAATGTACTGGACAGAACACAAAAATGCTTTCCAAGAATGGTTCCAGGGATGGTAAACTTCAGTTATGAGGGAAGATTGGTGAAGTTGATACTGTTTTTTCTTGCAGAGGAGAAAGCTAAGAGGAGATTTAATAGAGATTGCCAAAATAATTATGAGGTGAGAACTGGATAGAGTGGATAGGGAGAAACTGTTCCCATTTGTAAATGGATCAAGGAACAGAGGACACAGTTTTAAAGTGTTTTCCAAAAGAAACAAATCCTGAGTGAGAAAAACGTTTTTCTCAAAGCAAGTAGTCAGGGTCTGGAATGCACTGCCTGGAAATCTGGTGGAGGCAGATTCAGTTGAGGCACTCGGGAGGGCATTAGATGTTTATTTAAACAGAAATAATGTTCAGGGAAAAGACAGGAGGCTGGCACTGAGCTAAAATGTTCAGTACAGACACATGGACCAGAATCGCCTCATTCTGCACAGTAACATTTCTATAATAATCACTCTACAGTATGATAAATACAAACTCTGAGCTTCTTGAAATAGTAACTCTGAGGTTTTGACACCAAATTCCAAAAATAGAAAAAGGAATGTGATTTCTTCTGCGAATATATGGAGATCAAACACTGGGCAACGTGAACAATCTAATGTACCACTTAGATAATAGAGGGCAAATATTTTGCCATGGTGACCGCACTGAGACCCAAACTGCATTGCAGCACACCCGTTTCCTTCACTCAGTGCCCTGCTCACATGCTCAACCAGGCAGGGTTAACATCCAGGCATGATGGGAAGATAGCAGAATCTCAGAAGCTAAGTGATTACCCTCATTTCAACTGCCAGCCTTTGCGAGCCTGCCCCAACCAGTTCCTGCCAGGCAGGAGGAGTTAAAACCAGAACAAGTCCATATTGCTTTTTGAAAGTAAGAGCAAGGAGAGTGACTTTTTAAACAGACATCTACACAGACAGCCACAGCATCTCCGCTAATCCCTTTCTGTCATTCCACTTGGAAACCATTCCTTTCCCTTCCAGAATTGGAGCCAAGAACCTTACTTAAGGGTGTCTGTGTTAACCAAACATTCTTCAGGCACTTCAAACAGTCTTGGAACCAACAGCAAAAAATGTTTATAATGCAAATAAATAGCTTGTAAATCAGCCACTTGGCAGCTCAATTCCTATTCACAGCAGTAAAACTCCTGGCTTCATAATTCATTGAGAAAGCGAGGAAGTGAAAGGCTAAGGTGGGCATCAGTGTGACTGACTGCATACTTCATCAACAAAGGCTCTACTGAGCTCTCGTATAATGCTTGAAAACTAATGGGTTCCAAAATTTTTGGTAAGTTACCTAATGCAGTTGCTAACGTAACAAACTGCAGACTCCAGGACAAAGCAGTTTTAAGAAAATGTAACCAGAAACAGTTGGAAGTGGCAGAGTGGTAATGTCTTAGCAATTCAGACTAATAATTTAAAGCCCCAAGACAATGTTCTAGGGACACTGAATCCCACCATATCAGACGACAAAATTCAAATTCAATAAAAACACTCTTGGATTAAAAGCTAGCCTAATGATAACCACTGTCACTTGTTGTAAAACCCATCATTAATGTCCTTTGGGGACAGAAATCTGCCATCCTTACCTGGTCTGGTTTACACATGACTCTAGAGCCGCAGAAATGTGTCTTACTCTTAATTGACCTCTGGGCAATTAGGGATGGACAATTAAATCTAACCCAGCCAGTGATGCCCACACGAACAAAGGAAATAAAAACGCGAATGCTTCATATTCTATTTTTGCCCCTCTGCTGTTTAAGAAATCTGATGCAGTGGAGTTACTTTTGAAGCTGAATAATTTCACATGGCACTGAGCAAAGTGTGTTGCGATTCTGTTCCACATGTCCGTTATTCCAATTCCTCACTGGCGCTTGATCGAAAGCCCCTCTGCTCACGGTTCGTGATTTCCACAATTTTTTCCTTACGGGTTTCCTGTACATGTTGCAAGCAGCCGGTGATCTCTGGGCGTATGGATCATTCCAAGTCTGTTCACGGAATGCACTGGATGGACTGGTTAGAAACAAGTGAGCCGGAAGCGATAAGGGAAAGCAGGCAGGGTCTGAAACTGGGAGATAGCAAGAACTGCAGATGCTGGAGTCAGAGATAACACAGTGTGGAGCTGGAGGAACACAGCAGGCCAGGCAGCATCAGAGGAGCAGGAAAGTTGATGTTTCGGGTCGGG